CTGCTACTCCTACTGCTTCTGCTACTGCTACTGCTCCTGCTGCTGCTGCTGCTGCTGCTGCTGCTGCTGCTGCTGCTGCTGCTGCTGCTGCTGCTGCTGCTGCTGCTACTACGGCTACTACTGCTACTACTCCTACTACCCCTACTCCTTCTCTGAACCCCGCTGTCAGTAGTGCGAAGTGACACGAACTATGGCAAAAAAAGAACCGCAAAGCCCGAACTCGACCCACATGGCCTGATTTAGAACGGCACACACCCCAAACCATACGGTTGATGATATAAATCCTGCATTACTCAAAATAGGGAAAATACCATAATTCCCGTAGTTTAGGGTCCTCAAGGCAATGCAGGATTTCTATCATCAACCATACCTCAACCCCCTTCTCGTCGTCGGTCTCTTGCATCTAATTCGCTAAAAGGCTCAAGCGTCCTAAGACCGCATGGGTTAAGGGCGTTAGGATCATATGGTTGAAGGGTTTAGAGTCTCCTGCTCAAGCGGTTGAAGCTTCAAGCGTGTTTTGACTTTGCTTGCTGATCTGAGTAGCTTCAGGACCCTCCTTAACCCTCGCCTTGCTTCTTTTAGCGTTTAGGGTTTAGGGTGTAGGGTTTAAGGCTTTAGGGCCTAGAAGTCTAGGGTCAACGAGACTCCGAAGCTCCTAAACAGCAAGATACTCGAATAAGAATGTCACGATGAAACATACCAGTCACAACAGCCATGCGACTGCTCTGAATATTCATGATGACCACATCAGTTTCCTCACCGCAACCTCTACTTAACTCCAAAGCCCAAACCCTAAACTCTGAACCCCAAGCCATGAACTCTAAACCGTTAACCCTAAAACCCCAACCCCTAACCCCGAACCCCAAGCCTAAACTGTAAAACCCCGAAACCCAAAAGCCCGAAGCCCTAAACCCCCAAACCCCAACGGAAAGAACCCTTAAAGGAAGCCTTAAAGGAACCCTTGAAGGAACTTAAGGGAGCCCCTAAACCCTAAACCCTTAAAGGAAGCCTTAGAGGAACCCTTGAAGGAACTTAAGGGAAGCCCCTAAACCCTAAACCCTAAACCCTAAACCCTAAGCCCTTAAAGGAAGC